ATATATAAATATATAAATAATTTCTATGTTTCCTTGCTTAAACTATATTATATATCTCTTAAAATACATGCATAAATTTTTATATTAATTTTCGTATTACATTAATTCGAATTAAAAAAGTAATAAGAAATGTTATCAAAAGTGAAAAACAAACTGTAAAAACATATTTTATTGGTGAAAAAAAAGAATTTACCGTGCTTTTTGGAATTCTTACACTTGAATCAGCATGTGTTTCTGGTAATATTGATGAATCAGTATGTGTTTCTGCCCTTCTAGTTGAATCAGCTTGCATACTTGATAAAACAACATGTTCATATTCAGGAGGGTTCGATTCACAACAGTCATCTTTATTAGAAGCATATAAATCATATAAATTACTGAATATACTTTTAATATGTTCATTCCAAAATTCCATATCAGCTTCTGTCAAAGGCTTTGATACGAAATCCAACTTTTTTTTTCTTATCTACTCATTCAAAAGCGCACATTCATTCTTTTCATATTCATATATATTATATGCTTCATCATATAAAAATGAATAAAATTTTTTAAGTTCAAGACTAACACTTGCATCAATAACCTTCTTCAATGAACAACCAAATGATCTACAATCCTTTTTAGATACCTCATCATCCAATTTTTTAAATAACTCCACTTTACATTGATCATTTCCGTGACTACATTCTTTCTGGTAAAAAGGATTAAATATAGGAATACGAAATAAAAGTATCATTTTAAAACTTCATTAAAATAATAAAAAACTAGTTAAAAGAAATAATATTAATTCATATATTTGAATGAACGTACAGATATGTTTATCCATATTATTATTATACACTAAATTACACAACCTTATTAATTATTGTACATTAGGCATACTTTAATTAAACTTAATATATCATCTGTCATGGCTCATTATTGTAAATATGTCATATGAGAACCTTATGTAATGTAATTTATTATATAATAATATTCATATTAATATAATATATGATAAACACATATTTTCAAAAAATACTAATTATATCCTATATATGCATGTACATACAATATATATATAAACCTACTACTATGCGCTATATGTTATGCTGCGTTAATTCTAAAAATAATATTATTCTAATTGTTTTCAAAAAACATATATTATTTAAAAAAATAAAAAAAATTCATTGGAATAATATATTTATGTAAAAATAAAATAAATTAGTTTATTTATTGTTATTGATAAAAATTAAATTAACTTTTAGTTTATTATGACTTATTATATTAATATATTTAAATATATATTTTCTTTTTTTTTCATTCATCCATTATATTATATATTCTCTCTTTAAAAGAGAAAATGTTTTGACTTAAAAATAAAGTAATATTTATGCAATGTTTAGATTTGAATAAACACAAAACAATAATGCGTGAAGTGAATTATTTCTATTAGTTAGTGCAGTGTTGAAATACATGTTATTATAATCACTTATATTATATTCTTATTTGAATTGCATATTTAAAATAGAAAGTTTATTTTAGAGGCCTATAACAGTAATATATTTTGTACAGTATTATCAAAAAAATTATATTAAATTTGTTACACATTTTTTTATATAATTGTCGAATTAATGTTATTTTAATATATGAATTATAACAGATTAAAAGAATTTTTTTATAAATTTGGATTTTTATGCTATATATATTATTATTATTTTTCTATTATGTGTTTTTGCAAAATTTTCATATATTTGCGTCTTCTATGTATGAAGACAGTGCAATTCCCCTTATTCATGCATATTAGGGTCATTCATAAGGGTAAAAAATAGAATAAATGTATCATGATACATAATAATTTATGTAATGTTCAATAATTAAAAAAAATCATAAATTACTTATAATAATATAGTAATATATTTGTTTCTGTTACATTTATTTAATTTAAAAGATATATATATAATATATTTTAGTATATATTGAAATGCTTTCTTTACTTTAAATTTTCTTACATTCATTAGCAATTGTATTTTTAAATAAAAAAATTATTAATGTAGAAGATTGATTTCAAAATCTTTGATTTAGTTATGTTAATAGTTTCTCATATATTAAATTTTGAATAAAAATAAGTTTGTTTATTAGTTTTATTAATTATATATTTTTTTTATAATTTACTTAAACATGAGATCTAATTATCTCATTTTTCAAGAATATTATTAGAAATATTGTTAATATTTATATACAGTTATAATAATTAAAATATATTTAATTACAATGCATAAATTAATAAAATATATATATTAATAATTTCGTATATCTAATTATAATAAATGATGTTTTCTCTCATTATCTGGAATATCACAAAAATTGGGGTTTTTTAATTATATTGGGAAAATATTAGAAGACAATTGTAAATTAATCATTAATTTGAAGTATATAACCTTCAATAATTATGCTTTGATTTGTAAAAATTATAACTTTTATAAATTTTTTTTTAAGCTAAATAAATTATGTTACATTCATTCACTGCCATTATACTTTATATAGGATTTTTATTCTTAGGAATATTCCTTACATTGTTGTTCGTTAAATTTGAAGAATCTCTTTAAATAAATCAATTAAGTTATAATAATCTTTATTATTTTTATTCACTATTCTATTATAGATCCTTCTTTTAGTTTTTAAAAATGAAACTTTCACAATATACTGTTAATGAAAAAGCAATGTAATATTTTCATTATCACGTTATACACAGTATAATTATTTCTCATCATATGTAATATATATTTCAGCGTAATTTACCTATAATAAATTATATTTTACATTAAAATTTATAAAAAATAAATAAAATTATTATAATAATTAATCGTGTACTTGTCGCAGATTATTAATATAATATTTTATATCCCTATAACCCAATAGTATTTTATATTAGATATTTGTAAAAATTTTCTTTAAATGTTTTCAGATCTAATTTATGATT